GCATGCATTCTAAAATTTGAATCCGTCGGCTTTTTAATACGGTTTTTGTGATAATATTGTAAAGAACGAAATTGAATTCCTTCAGGCCACGAGGGCGTAGTACAATTACCATAAGGTGCTTTGAATGAATCCATTGTTAATGTATTCGTTTATAATAGTATATTCTATAAACGGTTTACACGGGCGAATATATAATAATTATTATGTTATAATAGTAAGACAAACAGTTTTAGCATTACCATTATGGCGGCTCTAAACGATTGGATTTTGTATGCATTTAGACATGGGTGTAGAGAGGGTGGGGCAGGGGGGCACATGTCCTCCTCTGCGCCTCAAACTGAATTATATTTGTTTATAACAAACGTGTAAATTTTACATTAAAATCAAAAATCAAATAAGATACAAGTCTAAAAATAGTTTAGTGGGACCGGGTGTTATTTACACGTGTACCTAATCGTTTTGACGTTTTATGTGTTATCCAATGATCTATAGATTATTTGAATTACGTGTTTAATGCTAATCGGTTTATGCGATAAACTATATATTATATCAATTATTACTTTTTCAAAACGCATACGCATACCTGCTATAATTTAGTGTAGCAGTAGTATAATAATGTACCAGTTCGACATATCGTTCTGTATTCGCGCAAATAGAAGTTTTCAACAGTGTACACGAATACGATGGACATACGAAAGTTTTTTGGTGGTAAGTACATATCTTATATTAAAATTAAAAAAATTTCTTAGCACGTCTTAGTACTTAACTACTCGTAATAACATGTATTTTTCGTACGTCTTAGACCATTAAGCTGTGGTAAATTACACATACTTTGGAATGTTCTATTTTAATTTTTAATATATGTATGAATTATTTGACAAAATAACTAGGCTTTCTACAAAGTTAATTTTCAATTTTAAAAGACCTTAAAATTAAGATATTTTTTTAAAATATCTCATGATATAATTGCATTACATTTGTTTTTTTTTTGGCATAACCTACAAATCTATTGGCATCTTTTTGTAACGTTAGGTTAGGTTTTTTTCTAAAAAAAGGAAAATTGGCAGAAAAAAGTAGTGGTGAAAGTAATATAGAAATAGATAAAAATCCCGAATCCTCCAACAAACCTTCCAATTCTTATAATACCAATATCCGAAATGTAGATCCTTCAACTTCTAAAAAGTCTACAAACGAAGCTAGTAGTGAAAATGATATAGGTAAATCGAAAAATATTTATGCATTATGACCAATATATTTATATTTATATTTTGCAAAGTTTTTATAAATGCATCAATTATTTTACTATAGGTAAATGGGTGAGACGGTCTTAACTTTTAACAAAATCTCAAAAAATGGATATCTTGAAACGTTGTTGGACACCACCTGAAAATTATAATTTTAGTGAAGATGCTGTTGGATCAAAGAGAAAATGTAACCATAGTTGGTTATAAGCCTATGCTCCTTGGTTTGCGTATTCTAAATCACTAAAAGGCGCTTTTTGTTTGTATTTTCTTCTGTTTCCTCCTAAAAAAGTCCAAGGAGTTTTAGGTTCATTTATCATCAAATCTTTTAATCGATACAAAGATATGCACGAGAGCTGTAGAAATCATATTTCTAATAATTGGCACCAAGAAGCAACCGAAGCAGCTAAAAGTTTTATGAAAGAAGTACTTATAAATATTATGATGGTATCCGGGCACCAAAAAGTACTAGAACAAAACCGAAGAATTGTTTCATCCATAATTTCAAATGTACTATTTTGCGGAACCCATGATCTACCTTTAAAAGGAAAGGGTCAAAATGAAGGTAATTGAATAAAATAATTAAATTTATAAAATATTGAATTATTTAATAATGTATTTTTGATTTTTTTTTTTTATGTAGGTGTTTTTTTATGATTTAATTCAAATGCGAATTGAAGCTGGTGATCAGTATCTCCAAAACCATATTGAAAAAGGCAATCGAAATGCTATCTACACATCTCCACAAATTCAGAATGAAATCATCAATATAAGTGGAACAATAATCAAATATGATATTATGAATTATGTCAAAAAGGCTGTAGCTTTCAGTATAATGGCAGACGAGACCGCCTATACCTCAGGAACAGAGCAATTGTTTATTGGAATTAGATTTTTTTGATGATGAGAAAAGGGCCATCAGAGAAAAGTTTTTAAGGCTTCATTGAATTACATGCCATGAACGGTGCCAACATACCTAATATAATGGATAATTTTATTCAAAACGAAGGTTTCGATGGAATGAAGTTTGTTGGACAAGGTTACAATGATTGCGCAACTATGGCAGAGAAAATCAATCGAGTGCAATCAATTTTACTAGCCAAATATCCACATGCTTTATTTTTTCACTGTGCAAGTCATAAATTAAACTTAGTGGTCAATGATTTAAATTATGTTCCAGAAATACGTAACACAATTTCAACAGCAAAGGATACTATAAACTTCTTTCGCTAATCTGTTTTACGTAGAATATGTATCCTAAACATACCAGCATTCTGTGAGACACGATGGTCATAAAAATATAGAAGTATTTCAATTTTCAAAGAAAATTTTGAGATAATTGTACGTGCTTTAGACAAATTATCGAAAGATGGGAACACTGCAACAAGAAAAGTTGCTTTTCAATTGCATTCTGTAGCAAATAAAAGTATTTTTATGAGTGTAATCCTCATAGCAAAATATTCTAAATTATTTGAGCCTATCGCGAATGCTCTGTAATTGAAAAATTTGGATTTACTAAAATGCTCAAATTATATAAAAAAAATAGTAGGTATAGTGAAAGATCACCGTGAAAATTTTGACGCGAAAATCCAAGAAATTTTAACTGCTGCAAACGCAACAGCTGAGAATATAGAAGCAGAAATTAATCTTCCTAGGATTGCCGGACGACAAAAAAATAATTCAAATTCTCCAGCATCAAATTCAGTAGAATTCTGGAAGAGGTCTCTGCTAATTCCATACTAGGATTCATTGATATCCTCATTGGAGCGGAGATTTTCTGATGAAAACCTACCAGCTTTTTCACCTTTCTTATTATACCCTTCAAATATGTTAGATATGAACATCAAATAATTTAAACTCAAAATAAATGATTTTACCGATTATTACCAAATTAAGGACTTGGATAGTAAAGCAGAATTTTGATACAACACCTGGAAGGAGAAAAAACTTGCTAAAAGCAAACTATTAGACATGGAAATGAGTGATAAAGTGGAGGAAACAGTTTTTTTTTTCCTAAAATTAAGCAAGCCTTGCACATTTCGTTAGCTCAGCCATGTACAACCTGTACTATTGAGAGGTCATTCAGTACCTTAAGAAGGGTAAAGACTTGGTTGCATTCAACGATGACGGAAAATCGTCTGAATGCTAAATTAAAACAATTTTTTTTTATCAGTACGAATGATATTAATTATATACACTGTAAATTATTTTAAGTCTCTGCATACTAAGCGTGCATAGAAATTTGCTTGATGAAAAAAAAGAAAAGCTGCAACAGAAAATTTTAAGCAGATTTTGCGAAGATCCAAGATGATTGACATTGGTATAATGTAAAAATTATAATATATATAAATACTAGTGTTTTATTTTGCCCCCCCCCCTCTGATTCAAATCCTAGCTACGCCCATGCATTTAGCCCTATGAGCTCACGAAAAATATTTCTAGTAATTTAATTTTAATTTTAATTTATTAGCTTCTTTTCTATGATCTGTAGGAAAAACTTTTTAGTTTTTTTGTCTTGTTATCACTTTAAAGTACAAGTTAATTTTGAGAAAGTAAGCAAAGTTATTTGGAACTGTGCCACGTAAACTTTCCGAAATTTCCAAAATCTGTTTCCTATAAATCATAGAAAAGAGGCTGACGAATTCAAATAATTTTAAAAAATTGAAACTAGATTACCAAAAATATGTTAATTTTTCGCCAGCTTATTAAAATTATTCATTGTCGCGAGTGTACAAAAATATTTTTGAGAGTGCACACGTTAACTTGTGTATGCTATTGAATATAGTCAGTTCCGTTCGTTCGCGTCCGGGCGATAAGAAATCTATTGTTATTGAGTTTGATTTCCTTCGAAATTCTAATTTTATATTTTATATTATATTATTAAATTTAGTAATAATGTTGCAATAGACTTGTATCAATGAAAATAGTAAGTTGTTACCATCAGTTTATATTTAGTGACGTTTTACTGTGTTCGTTTTTTGCAATAATTTCAAATAATAATATATTCCCAGCCCCCTTAACATGAATGACTGGCGATTTAGAAAAAAAACTCGTACAAAATTATCTGCGCTACGGAAAAAAATACGGCATAATTTGAAAAATATACGTTCCAAAATTAATAGAACCTTAGAGAACGACGATATTCAGGTATCTATGAGTTTATTGTATATAATAAATTAAAATAATACCTTGTAATATTGTAGAAGTAATAAAAACAGACGCGTGCTGGCGGTGGGCACAATATAATAATAATTATTGCCCTGCTTACTTATTTTGGTTCGTCACCGGTACGTTATTAATATTCTACGGCAAAAAAAAGTAATATTCTTACTTTCATTTTTGAATTTCGAATTTTGAATTTTGATTAGTCTAACGTCTGCTATTGTCTTAATTAAACTAATGTTTAGTCCTTAGAAAGAGATATTTTTGTGTAATCCTTTTTTTCATCGCTTTAATTATATGAAATAATTTATTATTTTACTACTAGTTAAATTATTTTATGTATGATTAAAGTTTAGAATTTAGATAAAATTTCTAATTTTTACGAAAAGAAACTGTTTGCTAATTAAAAACCTGGAAAAAAAATTTAATTCTTCGAATAATAAATTCTGTCAATGTGCCATATACCCATCATCATTATCTTACAGTTTTTTTTCCACTAAATTTTTCACCAGGTTTTATTTAATTTTTAGGTAAAAAATACAAACGAAGAAATATTAATAAATGTTCCCTCTTCTATACTAGATAATTCATCAGACATTCTCGACATAAGTTGAAGTATTATATTTACTGAAGTGGAGGAGACTGAAAACTTTTGGAAAAATTTAGAGAGGAGAAAAATTGTTGATTTTAGATATGTATTTTAAACGATTTAGTCTATTAAACATGCAGGATTTGATTGTACATTTAGTAACTTAACATTTTCAAAAGAAATAAGAAATGGATTTTTCAGCGCGTTTTATTTTAACTGCAAAGTGTGTGGCGTACAAGGAATTATAAAAAGCGAAAATCTTAACGATAATAATATAGATGTAAATACGTCTATAGTCTTTTCTATTGTAAATACTGAACAAGGATACTCACACTCGATTTGTGCAATTTGCTGCTACTATGAATATGCCTAATATGTCCATCAAATTATATCAACATGTTCATTCAAATATTTTTAAAAATTTAAACGATTTAGCATGGAGAGAAATGCTCATTGCTGGAAAAGACGCCAAATCGGCTATAGAAAAGGGCGAAATTAACCATTTAGGAAGACCTAAAATTGCAGTAGTTGCTGATGGAGCTTGGAGCAAACGATCCTATAAAACCAAATATAACGCACTGTCTGGTGTTGTAAGCAAAACTTAATTGTAATACAAATTATAAACAATTACAAATATTATTATGATTTATAGATTTGTATTATCGGCGCTAGAACCAAAAAGGTTATATTTTTTGGAGTCAGAAACAAATATTGTTGTGTATGTCAATTGGCTGAAAATTGTGGCGAACTAACACAAAAACATGTTTGTTTCAAAAATTGGAATTCGGCATCAACCGCAATGGAAGCCGATATTATTTTTGAAGGTTTTAAACAAAGTCTGGACATGCATAATATTATTTATGCTCAGTTAATCGGTAAATAAAAATATTCTTTTTTTATTTAAATATTTAAATTTATACATTTTATACTTTTGAATTTATTATTAAATAACTCACTCTTTTTTCGAGTCGACTAATATCAGTAATCAGTAAATCACTTACATTTTTTTAAGAGATGGAGACAGCAGTATTATGAAGCGCCTAAGATTGGAAAAGCCATATGGTACAAATATTGGCATAAAAAAAATTGAGTCTACAAATCATTTACTACGTAACTATATAAATTGTCTTAGAGATATAAGTGGAAAAAGGAAAAATAATAAAGGAGATGTCATACCTGGTTGTTATCGAAAATGTATACGTGATCGTTTAATGAGGCTTCAGTATGCTGTAACTGAAGCAGTTAAATACAGGAGACTTGAACTTAAAAGTCGATCATTTGAAGAGTCATTGACGTTACTCAAAGCAGATATTACAAATGGACCGAATCATGTATTCGAGGACCACACTAAATGCCAACCATATTTTTGTCAAGACTAAAAGAAAGGTGTGTAACTTTATTTGCTGTATAAATGTTATTATAGTTATAAAATGTTTCCTCAATATGTTATATTTTATTTGTTTTAGGAGTAGAAAACATTGTTTTTGATTTAAACCACTTTGGTTTGTGGAATGAAGTTGCTAGAGCCCGGAATATTTTAACATATCACACCGAAAGTTTAATATATGGTTTTAATAATAATTCGGCTGAACTTTATAATTCAATTTTGACCAAATTTGTTGGAAGGAAACATGTGAATTTTTCATTAAAAGGATCATTCCAGCTAAGGTGTAACGCAGCAGTCACTGTTTATAATTTAGGACCAAACCACATTTCTCTTTTTAACAAACATTTAACGACTAAAAGCCCCGGAAAATTTACAAAAATGTATATTAAAAAACATACAGTCACCAGTGAAACTCGAAGATGACGTCAGTGACTTTTTAGTGTACCGACAGATAAAAGAAAAAATTATAAAATTACCAGGGCTAGACAAAAATTATGGAAATGTACCTCATTATCCATTTTCTGAATTTACCGCAGTTGAAATTCAACTGTTAAAAAATAAGTTCATGGAAAATTTAAAATTAACGGAAAGTGAAATCCAAGAACTAGAAAAACCAACTAAAATACAACATCGATGTGATAAATAACATTTAGAACGGAAAAAAAGGTAATTCATAACCAAACAATTAACTTTTACGAAATTTGAATGTTTTATATTATTTATAGACTTACTACTTCATTGTTTGGCAAAATATGTAAAATGCGCGAAAGTACGTCACGTGAAAATGTTATAAAAGAAATATTATTCGAAACTTTTAGTGGCAATGCTGCCACAAGATACGGAATTTTTCATAAAGATATGGCTAAAGGGAAATTGGAGAAAATAATTAGATAAAAAAAATAGAAAATGCTGGTTTATTTGTGGATTTAAATTTATCATTTTTAGCGGCATCTCCTGATGGTTTAATTGGTAATGATATTCTCGTCGAAATTAAATGTCCAGCGTCTGTTAAAACTTTAAGTCCAAAGGAAGGAATTACATTGAAAAAAATAAAAAATTGTAATATTGAAAACGGTCAACCAAGTTTGAAGAGAAATGATAATTACTTTACCAAGTCCAAGGTCAACTGCAAAGAACACGTAAAATATTCTATTATTTTTGTGTTTAGACACCTAAAGGTAATATTATAATTAATATTATTATATTATAGTTAATATGTTATTTTTATATATTTACTAAGGTTTGATGTATGAAAAAATCGAAAAAGATGATGAATTCTGGGATAAACGAATGAAGCCACACTTAGAATAATTTTATATAGATTACCTTTTATCTGAAGTTTTAAAAGATAGTCTACAATAAAATAACAACACAATAATTACATCTACTTCCCTTGTATAAAAATTAATTTAATTATTTTATCTATAATTACATTTTTCAAACACATTTTAGTTTTTAATTGTTATAATATTCAAGTTGTACAAAATGTAAATTTATAATTATAGTATATATAGTATAATGATTAATGATGTATAGCTGTATAATGTTATGAGCTTATGACATATAATATTTATAGATTTAGGTACACTGTATTTCACTATTGGTACTCTATTGGGTACAAGTATAAACCCGGAATTTTGAAATTTTACTGTATATATTTAGACCGTACATATCTGGACCGTATACATCTGGACCCAAGATTTTTAGACTGCGAGTCCGTATAAGCCTGGAATGTAGAAATCTGGACTGCATAAATCTGAATTAAATTTATTTGTTTTAAAGGGTTGGGTAGGTAATAAAAACCAATATATATATATATAATCCAAATTTGTATATCCGATTATACAGTCCATATATATACGGTCCAGATTTTTAAATTCCAGATTTATATGTGCTCCCACACTATTATTTATAATGTCTTATTATAGTACTACGTTATCCACACTACTGCCTATATTATAATAATATTGAATCATCAAAACGGATATACCGTAGAGTTGTACAAATTAATATAATGTAAAGATAAAATGTTTATTTTGATTATTATCGTAGTTCCGGGAATTTGTATTTTAGTCGATGTACAATAACACGATAACGGATTACACACACTAATGTTCATTTACTACTTACCCATTGACAGCCCAAATGTTTATGTGATATAAAATGCCTAAATATTACTCCTTAAAATATGCTACGCTCCAACCTCCTTAATCGATTCTTTTCCTCTGGAAAGGAAACGCCGAGTCATTCTCGTGGTCTTATGGAAAACATTAAACAAACTTCTATTTAATTATAGCACATAAACGTTTTACGTATTACTACGCAGTAAGCAAAAACATCGTTGGAACTCGGCACATTTTGTCGCGGTCGTATGCACATATTTCTAAGCGGTATAGCAAACGAGAGCTTTTATCCGGATTTAGGTGCGGCGCACACCATTCAATCGAAACCTATAATGTGGTAGCTGTAATTACGAGTCCTTCCCCCTATCATATTAAGTTATAGGTGCTCCATCGCCGGTGAAACTTTTATCCGTGTAACATAACGAGGCGCAATCCAAGTGTAACTACAAAAGTTAGATCCAACATTTTAAACTGCATTCTGAAAATACTAACTTGAACACAAGATATGAAAAAAAAAATTATACATCTAAAAAGTTCTAATCATACTTGTCCGGTTTTGTTGATTTACAATAAAGGAAAACCACTAAAACAAATAATCCAAATTTAATTCAAACGGTTCAGTGGAATGTTCTAAAACTAGTAAGGGCAGTGAGAGTTATGTTTAATGTGTTCAACGCGTTTTTATTAAAACGAAACATGGGCATGTATAAATGTATACCATAAAATAAACCGCTATACTTGAAACACCTTTTGCAATCAAACCCACTGGTCTCGGTTGTCTCTTCTCAAAACATTCCTCGTATAATTGTCATAAACTTTCGGAACAAAAATTTAAAAAATATATCAATTATGACAGAATTAAATGATTTAACGGTTACTCATCGCGTGGAGTGAGTGAATAGGTGTACGTGTATGAATATGCGTACGTTCGTATTTCAAATGTATTTCAGAGCATATTAATTTTATGTCACTTATCGCAAATGATGTGCACTAGGGGTGGGTGAAAAATAAGAGGGTTAGTGCATATTTTGGACATTTTATCATTCAGAAGGCTCATATTTAAAATATAATATTAACTGATTCGGACTACGGCTCAAAATATATTTTACCCAAGGCTGGGCAAGTTAATGATTTTTTTTTAACTCAGTTATGTTAATTTGCACCAATAACAATAATTTAAAAGTTAATTTTTTATAGGTTAACCAAGTTAAGTTAAAAGTTAATACACATTTTTTTTAAACTTTTTATTAAGTTAAAAAAAGACATTTTTTATATATAACGCCAAATTTATTTTTTATGAGTTCAAAACTAATTTATAGACTATAACTATAGTGTTTATTATACTTTATAAAAATAGAGCATTTTCATATAGTATATTGTGTTTCATTGAAGTTTTCATTTTTAAGAAAAAAACAGTAGTGACTTATCTTATAACTTCTTAAGTAATAAGTTATAAATAATAATTAATACTTAAAAGGCTAAGAATAATGAATTAATATTATTTATGTATGTACGTTTGTAATAGAGTATTATTAGTATTATTGATTGTTTAATAATCACAAAATATTTTATTAAATAGATTAAGTATTTAATACTTAGTAAAATACTAAAATATTAAAATCAGTTTTAATTTAGTTTTGAAGTTAGTTTAATAATAAAAATTATTATATATATATATTATATAAATAATAGTAAAAAAATTTCATTTTATTTTTAGTTTTACTATTTAGTAGCTTAAATTTATATAATTTAATAATTATTTATTTATAGTTTATACCCATTATATACAAATTAACTTAAAATTATATAAGAAATGAAAATATAATAAGTTGTAATAGTTGGATAATATTTTAACATATACATTTATTCATATAGATATACTTTATTAATTTATAACATAAAACCTTTTATTAGAAAATATTTTCTGACATATATATATACAGGGTGTTCCTTTAGAGTACAGAGTGATTGGAAAAATATTAAATATTTATTTTTAAACAATTCACAGTAAATAGTTTTTACACAAAAACTAAATAGACTGAAATGGTGAAATATAAAAAATTAAAAACAAAATAAATTAACTTAACATACTTCTTAAAATGAAAAATTAATTCGTTAATTTCACGTTAATTAAGAAATAAATTTAAAAAGTTAATAGTTAAGTTAAAACAAAAATCCAAAAGTAACTAGTTAAGTTAAAAAGTCAAAATTAAATTAACTTTTTAACTTAACATTAATTTTTAACTCGTTAATGCCCAGCCTTGATTTTACCTAATTTAATAAATTGTATATTTAATCGATTTTAAACGCATTTTTGATCGTAGCTGATAAGTAGAAGACTCAATTGCCCAATTTCGGTGATATTTTTAAAGA